GAGCCCCAGGGACACCAGGCAGGGCCTTGGCCTGGCCGAGCACAGGCAGCCCAGAGTAGGGACCTCAGCCCTTAATCCAACTCTAGTTGCACAAACACCCAGCGCCCATCTCAAGCCGAGGTTCAGCTCTGGAGTCCGGGTGCTGCCTGAGGATCACCGGTCGTCTTACGGAGCCAGTGCCCTCTCTGCTCGCCAACAACCCTGGGGCGGGAGGAAGGTCCATGCAGGACCCTGGTCAAGGGGTGGGAGCTTCTTTTTTTTTTCTTCCAATGTACCAAGTCCAGGCTCCTAAGTCACTAAGCCTCCCCTCCCTGTCTCCCCTATCCTTCCCCTGAGGCTGAGCAGCTGCAGGTAGACCAGCAGCCCCTTTGCCTCCCCTCCTAGGAAGCTAGAGGGAGAGCTGACACCCACTTGGCACGTGTCCCTGGAGGGCGCTGCCCATCTCAGGAACTCTCCACAGGTGGGCGATCAGACGGGAGTGATGGCACGGGCAGATACCCAAGGAGTTGTCTGCTGCAGCCCATGAAGCCCCTGAGGCCCTCGCCCTCGGCCTGACCACAGTCCCTGGCGCGCCTCTTGGAGCCCAGGGCTCTCCAGACCCCTGGCTGGGACCATCTCCAAGGGTCCTTCCAGCTTCAGCACACGGAGATGCTGGCCATGAAAATCAGGTCACCACAGCCTACAAGGGAAGGCAGCTGGAGGGAGAAGAGGCTTGGTTTATCCGGCTCCTAATCTCACCTGCCCTAAGGTGTCCCCTTGGCCATGTGCTGGGCCAAGCTCTGCCCCCCATCATGCTCCCATCTCTGCCCTTGCCCATCTGGGAAGCTGGCGTGCGTTAGGAACTTGGGGATTTTTACAGGACAAGAGCCAGGGGGGTCCTGGGCCTGGCTGGGAGGGGGCCTGTGGAAGGAATGGAGGGGCATGATGGGCCACCTGTGCCCCAGAGTGAGGGAGGGGGCTGGAAAGGGTGCCAGTGGGAGCAGGAGGCCCGGGGCCAGCTGCAGGAACCGAGCCCTTCAGAGAGAGCCCACGGCCCTTCTGCACACCACACGTCTTGGTGGCGCGGATGCCCAGCTGACTTCCTGCCATGATTCTGCCACCACCTCAGCCACCGTGGGGGCTCAGCCCCTTCCCCTCAGATACCATAACGGAGGGGCCAGGGACAGACCTGGGGGAGAGGGAGGGGCCAGAAGGGAGTCGGAGCTCGTTGTTCCCAGCACACCCTGCTCGGGCGCCTGCCCCCCACCGATCAGCCGTCAATCCTGTCCCCTGGGAGGCAGCGCACAGGCCCTGGACCTTGTCAATCTGCGGAACATACGAAGCCGGAGCCAGAGCGTTCCCACGCCGCACCAGCGCCGAGGCGGGGCCCTGAGCGGCAGATCGCTGCCTGTCACAGGCCCGGCGCCCCAGCTCCTCCACACGAGGCCCTGCCATTCCCATCGCACCATCGGCAAACCGAGCCCAAGACCCTCGGGGTCACCCCGTCTCAGGGCGTGTGGGTCTGTTTCCTGGAGTTTCTCCTCGTGCCCATAATGCACTCTGCCCCCTCTATGGCCAGGGCAGGGGGTCTACCCAAACCAACAGCATCCTCCTTGGCCCGACTAAGGGCCTGAAGTTCCCTAAGTGCCGTTTGAGGCCCATTTTCAGACTCACACTTCCCAGTGGGCAAGAGATGGGAAACAGACGTTTATGGAGAGGAAACTGGGCTCAGAGAGGTTAAGTGACTTGCCCAAGGTCACAGAATGAAGAAGGGCAAGAGTTTGGATTCAAACCCAGAACTGTGTCTGGCACATAGTAGGTGCTGAATGAATGAATGAATGAATAAAGACCACAAGGCCATGCTCTCAGCTCCCACCCTATGCCCTTGGTGTCTGGCTGACAGCCTGAGGAGCCTGGCTCCGGCTGAAATACCTCCAGCATCAGGTGCTCACGGCTCTGCGGTGGGACTGTCTCCCGGACCTCTGACCGCTGGGATATTCCTCCCACGCCTCACCCACCGTGGGTCCCCGATGGCAGCTCACAGGTTGAGTCCTGTTCTCTCCCCAGGGCTCCAGAGTGCCTTGACCCCTAACCCTTCCCAGATTCCCTTGCACTCCACCTGGCTCCCCGACTCCGACCCCTTGAGCCTCTCTGGCCCCGCCCCACATGCCTCGCCCTCCAGAGGTCTCTGCTCAGCCCTGCGTCATCGGCCTCAAAGCTGAGTCGGGAAGTCCCTCTCTGCCCGCATCTGGTCTCCTGGCCTCCCCTGGGCATGGTCAGCACTGCTGGGCCCAGAGGCCACCTCTTCCCCCTTCCCTGGAGGGTGGGGGAACCCTCCTGCCCCAGCCTCCCCAGGAGTTAGCATCCTGAAGAAAGACCCCTCCACCCACCCTGTTTCATTGTAACTGCACCGGCCAGGACAGAGCCCACTGCTCTTGGTGACCCGGCCATTTACCTTCCCACCACATAGGCCCGTCGCTCCCACCTGAGAAAGCAGACACCACCCGCACGGAGGTCTCCGAGCATCCCTGGACCCTGGGGGGCGGGGGGACGGGGGGGAGGAGGTGCCTGCAGCGTGGAGCAGAGGCAGCAGCTCCAAAGTCCTCTCGCAAGCCCCAGGGCAGGGAAATAAAGCTCACGGTGTCTAACGTGGAGAGCGAGGACACACAGGGGCACAACCTCCTTCCACGCCAATAGCATCAAAGTCGTCCGGGAATCCGGGAGTCCTTCACTGGAGACGGGCCGGAGTGTTTGCTATGGATCCTCCAAGAGGAGGGAGGAGAGTCTCTTAAACCAATTTGACCTCAGATCCTTTTCTCAGAGTGTCTCATGAGACTGGTGTTCCCTGGAACCCACTTTGATAAACACTGTGGAGTTGCCTCTAAAGCCCTGAAGTGCTAGGGTCCAGAACTCTGACCCAGTCCCGAGTGTGGGTGGGGTCAGAGGATGATGCTTCGAGAGCCCCAGCTACCAAGCATGGGCTCCTGGCGTTCCCCAGTAAGTGATGCCTGGAGTTGCCTCCTTGTTCACAGGACTATGTGGCCCCAAAGCCCACGAGGCCACCATCAAGGATGAGTGGGAGCCAAATTGCAGCCCCTCTGGGGACCTGGAGGCCTAGTACAGCCCCACAGCCCAGCAGAGCCTGCAGCTCACCGCCTGGGACAGAAGCTTCAAGACGCCCACGCAGGTGACGTCTTCCCCTAGGGAGGACGGAAGCAGGTGGCTCCGCTGCTGCCCCTCTGAGGGCCTCCGCCCACATGCCCCTCCAGGTCTGCTGTGCTGCCCCCCAGCCAGAAGCCTCCAGCTGGCTGTGCCTTCAGGTGGCATTGGCAGGCCCAGGCTCAAGGAGCCCAGGCAGCCTGTGAGTGGGCCCAGCGGGCTCCCAGGCGGGCACCATCTGGCCCGGTTCCAGGCCCTCTCCTTCCAGGCTGGCCCTGAATAGCTCCCGCGTTTCCCCAGCAGGGCCTTTGATCTGGAGCCTCTTCCATTCATTCCCACCCTCTCTGGCTTCCCATCTGATTTGAGAAGGGCCCTCCACGCCTCCTTCCGCTTGGCGTTTTCCTAATCCTCCGGGCACTGCACACTTATGTTCCCTCCTGAGCCCCAGCCAACTCCTTCTGGTCCCCTTGACATTCCTGCCTTGTCTCCTCCCTCCCAGCCGTGGCCTTGCCACACGCCAGGGCCTCAGCGGGCCTCCCTCAGGTGGGTGTACTCCTGGCACCGGCATCATTCATTCTTCCCCTCCTGCGTCCATTTACCCAACGCCATTGAGCGCCCCTCTGTGCCAGGCACAGGCCATGGCTGTGGTCCTCCAAACGCAGAGCTTCTCTCTGGGAGCAGAGAGCGAATGAAGGAGCAAGTCCCCATGTGACTGGGGCTCTCACACACAGGCCTCCCAGCACAGCGGCAAACCCCTCCACCCCCCGCGGGACACGGGGGGCTACAGGAAGGCCAGGAGTTGCCTCAGGTGCTCTGATCACACAGCTCTGAGATCCAGGACAGGAATTTCTGCCTTCGGACCCACCTATAGAAAGTGCTGTTCACCTTCATCAAGGCCTCCATCCCTGACTGGCGAGGGTCTGGGCCCCAGCTGAGAGGACACAGAGCTTCTGAGGGGATCTCCGTCAGCAGAGTTCGGCCGAGGCCTGTGGTCCCTCCACTAGGCTTCCCAGTTAGAGAGGGGACCTCTGGGGGTGACAGGGGTTACAGATGAGACATGGATGGACAGGGGGATCTAGTCAGTGTGTCCCGTGGCACACCCAGAAATGCCGGCATGTGAGTTGGGCTGACCCCCTCTGTGACCACGGCCAACTCCCTTTGTTGGCTCAGTTCAAGCCACCTCCCTGTCCAGAAACCATTGCCCTTGTGTCTAAAAGAAAAAAGATTGGGTCTCACAGTGTGCAGAGATGTTCTCTCCCCACCAGGTCAAGTTTGACACCCCTCCCTCCCAGGTAGTCCCCGCACGTCCGGGAGTGGGGAAGGCAGAGCGCACAGGAGTGGTTCTGGACCATGAGAAGCAGGTAGAAGGTCACTTCCAAGCCAAGGCAATGAAAGCCCCTACACCTTTCCGATGGCAGGACCGTGAGATTAAAGATATCCTAGATCACAGAACCACCATGTGCAGGGCAAATCCCCTGACAGGCACCCTTCACTGTGTGGGCGAAAAATGAATCTTAGCACTATGAAGCCCTTGCGATTTGGAGGCTCATTTGTTATTGCAGCAAAACCTAGTGTATCCTCACTAACACACCAGAGGTGGCGGATACATGAAACAGGCACCATCACGAAGAGCCTGGCACCTGGACCGACATTACTAATCCATCTGGGTACTGTCCCTTCCCCATCTCAGCACGTGCTCCAGGGAGCCCACACCAACCGATCCAGGAAACATAAGAGGTGACAGGCTCTTTCTAGCTCACAAATTGTCACTCAGACGGTTGAACAATTTGATTGGCCCCCTTCTTGGCCACCCAGTGGTGGGACTTGGGAGCCCGGGAAGCTGTCCCTGGGGAGGTCCTTACCACCCACTCTTCAGGCTTGTCAAAGTTCCCTCTCTGCCGGTCTCCGAGTGGCCCCTGCCACCTGCCCGCCCCTCCTTGCCGGCTCTGGAAGCCTCGGTGAGTGATTTCGGCGTCGGTGACGTTTTTCTCCCCTCATAGCAGTTACTTGTAGAACCAAGTAAAGGCTTGTCTCTCTGAAGACGCCGGGGAGGAGCGGGGCTGCCCCACGCTTTCTCATTCTTTCTCAGGGTGTGCCCGCCTGAGACCCAGGAGACAAGTTCACCTTCTAGAAGGAATGTTGGGCACCACCCGAGTCCTGTCTCGGTGGTCAGCTCCCTCCCGAGGGAGCCTGAGAGGAGGGAAGGGCCGTCCCAGGACGGCGGCTGGCTCCTGAGGGGGAGGCCAGGGAGAACACGACTTTCGACAATGGGGCTTTGATCTGCCTAATGTCAGGAGACGGGAGGGCGCGGACGCCAGGTCCTGTGTCACTCCCGTTCCCACAGGAGATGCCCTGTGCAGGTATTCACATGGGGAAATTCTTGGCAGGCCGGCCCCTGGGCCGGTGCCCATCGCAGACACAGAGTGGCAATTAGCTTTGGAAAAACGGTGGGCGAGGCCTGTTTGGCGGAGGCTTCAGCCTCCAGCCCAGGCAGCTTCCAGAGGAGGCAGGGAGGCTGCCCCCACGGGAGGGGGCGCCCTCCTGGTGTGAGCGAGGGTGAGCTTGAGAGGTCCCCGTGGTCAGGGGCAGCCGTTGGGGCACAGACAGCCCGCACTCTGTCCCCGGCTGACTGCGACCTTCGCCAAAGCGCTGAGCGAATGGGCCGCGCGGCTCCCAGCTGTGTCCAGCCTCGGGGTTGGAAGCACATGGAGAGGCCGGGCCACGGGAGCGCTCACAGGATGTTGTGTAACGCGGGAGCCCACAGGGCCGCCCTGGGGCTGGGGCCAGGCCGGCAGGGCTGCCAGGGGCCCATCCTCGGAGCTGTCAGGACGCATTATCTCCACCTCCGCTCAGGAACAATGGCCTCACCTGTAGTCACTCCTGTTCCGAGGAGATGAAACGCCCGCGCCTCCTGCCCGCGGCTCCGGTTTCCCTGCAGGAAGGCTGCGGCGGGATGGGCCGGGAGCCCCAAAGATAGCGGAGCCGGAGCTGGGCGGGGGGGCGCCTCTGCAGATCAGCCTCCGAAGACAAGACATCCTGAGGGCTTCTTGCTCCCGCCTTCCTGGCCACCTCCGCCAAGAGAGGGTCCAGTGTGGATCGGCTCCCTCGCTGTCCGTTTCTCAGAAATTCTGACATCTCCCCCCACCGCCCCCCCGCAGGGACAAAATCCCCATCACAGCCCGCGTCCTGCACCCGAGCCTCTGGGCGCAGGGATGTCAGCCCCGCAGCCGCGCGCGCAGTCGGGTATTAGCAATGGACACGGGGACGCGTTGGCCAGGCACGGCCCGAGCGGCGTGCACTCATTTAGTCCACACAGCCAGCCCGTGAGCGGCCCCGGCGAGTGTCACCCCCACTTCACTTTTGGGGAAACCGAGGCACACAGCTAGTACCGGAAAACCCCCGTGTGAACCCTCACCGCCACACCCAGGGCCCTTTGGTGATGCCAGTAAGGGATTCTCTGAACCAGCTGTCCCACCTCCCTGGGGCGGGGGCCTCGGCGTGCAGGCCAGGGGACTGTTTGTTAAATTCTCAAGAAGGTATCTGGCTGGCCCAGGCACCACTGCTCAAGCCTCTCTCCAGGCCCAGCATGAACCGATCACCCCAGCACGCCCTCGCTCTCCTTCCTCAGCCCCTGCGTGGACCAGCAGGACTGCTGCCCCATTCTGCAGATGAGGACACTGAGGGTGAGGTGACTCGGGGTGGTGTGTTTCAGCCCCTGCTCTGCTGCCTGAATGAAGGGGGAGGGGGAGGGAAGGGGGGACTGGGGAGGGTGCTGCGCCATCAAAGGCCTCGCGGTAAAGACACCTCCCCTTCCCCGTCCTGCCTGGGATGGTTCACACCAGCCGCACCCCCCCCTCACCCCCCCCACTTCTGGAGGGTCAAGGCCAGCGCTGTACACTCAGCGCCTAGGAACTGGCCAATTGGGTATTTCTGATGAACCCACTCGGAAATCTTAACTGTAGGTGGCATTTCCGGTCCTGATGGAGGGTAAACAATGGCCCACCGCGGCAGGAAAGAGCAAGGGCTCGCCCAAACCCCAGCCTGCACAGAGCCGTTGTGTGCGGACAGATGCGAACCTGCGTGTCGTCGGCAGGGAAATGTTTAGATACCAGAGAGCAGGCTAGTCTGTCAACAACGGGCCCTTTGTGCGGCGCAGGGGACGCGGGGTGGAGGGGAATTTGCATTTTTGAAGCATCCTGGCTGCGGGGTGGCAGACACTACCTGCAGCCCGGCGCCCCCCACGTCTGGGCGACCCCGTGCGGGCGGGCGTCTGTGTGCCGGGCACTGGGCCAGCGTGAGAGCCCCGGGAATGGAATAATGAAGAATTAATTTACCCAGCAGGGCCCTTTCAGTGTCTGGGAAGCTCTCGCACCTTCTCCGAGGGGCAGACGCGTTTCCTTGGGAGGAATGACGTTACACAATCGGTCTGTCAAGAGGCCGCATTCAAGAATCCAGGCGAGACTGCTTCAGCTGCGGCGGCCGCTTTGATTCACACACTCCTCGCGGGCACCACAGACCCCGGCTCCCCGCTGCCCCGAGAAGGCACAAACCACCCGCGAGGGAGCCCACACCGGAGCCAGAGAAAACACGGCAGGAACGGGGCTGTGCTTATGGCGTGCGGAGGCCGTGCAGCCCGAATTCCACAGCCGCACAGAAGTCTGTGTGGGGATCAACACCCACTGTGCGGAGGGGCACCCTGAGGCACGCGCGCGCGCAAACACACACACACACACACACACACACAGCACACACACCACACACAGCGCACACACAGCACACACATACACACACACAGCACACACACACAGCACACACACACACACACACAGCACACAGCACACACACACACCACACACAGCGCACACACAGCACACACACACATACACACACAGCGCACACACAGCACACACACACACATACACACACAGCACACACATACACACAGCACACACACACACATACACACACACACATACACACAGCGCACACACAGCACACACATACACACAGCACACACACACAGCACACACACACACACATACACACATACACACACAGCGCACACACAGCACACACACAGCACACACAGCACACACACACATACACACACAGCGCACACACAGCACACACACAGCACACACAGCACACACACACAGCACACACACACATACACACACACACATACACACACAGCGCACACACAGCACACACAGCACACACACACAGCACACACATACACACACACAGCACACACACACAGCACACACACACATACACACACAGCGCACACACAGCGCACACACAGCACACACACACACACACACACATACACACACAGCGCACACACAGCACACACACACACACATACACACACAGCACACACACACAGCACACACACACACAGCGCACACACAGCACACACACATACACACACAGCACACACATACACACAGCACACACACATACACACACAGCGCACACACACATACATGCACACATACACACACATACACACACAGCACACACACAGCACGCACACACACAGCACACACACACAGCGCACGCACACACACACATACACACACACGCACACACACACAGCCTAGGGCCAGCAAGAAGCACAGCAGAGATGACCCCGCCACATGTATTAGTTCTCTGTTGCTGTAACAAACTGCCCACAATGTGGTGGGTCAAAACAACCATCAGCATCTGTTGTCCTCACATTTCTGTGGGTAAGGAACAGGGCAGGGGTGCGGCTGGGCAGTGCTGGCCGAGGGTCTGTCCTGAGGTTGGAGGCTGAAGCTGGCTGAGGGGCAGTCCTCTGACAGTTTCACCAAGACAGAGGATCTGCTTCTAAGGCTGGTGAGTTGGCACTGGCTGCTGGTATGAGGGCCCAGTTCTCCATGGTTGGATGGATGGTGGATGGATGAAGCATGGATTGAATGATGAGCGGATACATGGATGATGAATGAATGAATGGATGGATGGATGAATGGATAAATAGATGATGGGTGGGTGGGTGGATGGATGGATGGGTGGATGGGTGGATGGATGGATGAATGAATGGACGAATGGATGGGTGGATGGATGGATGGATGGATGCTGGGTAGATGGAAGGGTGGATGGATATATGAACTGAGAAGTGGATGGTTTTTCCTATATTTCTTCTGCATAGTAACTGCTTGGAGCTTTTGGAAATCCTAGGCCAACAGAGACTGAATTCATCTACAGACACATCCCCAGAGCTAGCAAGACCCAAGAGCCATATTGAACCAAGTATGAATTCCAAGGCTGCTGAGAAGTCCTTACTCTCAGCATGATCTGCCTCCTGGCAATAATACATCGTCCTTGCCCCACCATGACCTGCCCTCCCTTCTCGAACATGTGCACATGCCTGGGCACACATGCGATGAGGACACGCCCACAACGGCACACCCACATGCTCCACACAGCAGGGCATTTGCGGTCATGAGGCAGCTGCATGCGCCCACACTCAGTAGGAGCTGGTCGGCTCTCACTGGGGCCAACAATGCCACACAAAGCAGCTTCTTCTCGATCTTGTCCTGGACTGGCAAGGGCAGGGGCGGGGCCTGGAGATCCTGGGGAGGGCGGGGGGTGCCCTGGAGCCCTGCTCACCGGCTCACCTGCTTACCTACTCACCAGCTCACCTGCTCACCTGCTCACTTGCTCCTGCCATCTGGTCTGACCCACATCCCACAAGCCCTGCCCCCAACCCTCTCAGCTTCCCTCGCCTCCTCTTTCAGCAGAGGCCCCCGTAGGGACCCAAGGTCCCCGCAAACCTTGGGATCAGGGAACTGAATACCGGCGACAGCTTTCGCCCCTTTCAGAAGGATGGGAAGTATTCCTTTAAGCAGATCTCCTGTGGGAAGTGCCATAATACGAAACCCAGGCCTCATCCCAGACCCTGGGCGAGAGGGGAGGATGCACACAGCAGGGTTATTCAATCTGGAGGCCCATTTAAGAAAAAGAACACCAAACTACAAATACAAATTGAGTCCAAACATAGCGATTTAGAACAGCGGTCGCCAGCCCGTGGACCACTGATTTAGAATGAGAAAGAAATCATAACAAATGACATCCTTTAAAAAGCTGACCAAACCATAGATCTGTTTATTTTAAGGCCGTATCTGAAACGTCCTTTGCAGTTTCTAGCAGGGAGAGGTATCTGTCTGGGCGACTCCTGCCCTTGGGTGTCACTCATGACCCTGATGACCACAGCGAGCAGCCAGGCACGCTCTCCAGGTCCTTGCCACCTCTGGTCCTGGAGGGAAGAGGTGGCCCTGACGCCTGGACATTGTGGCCCCGAGCAGGACCTCCATGAGGCCCACGGAGCAGGTTGTCCTGGGGGCCAGCCTCCAGCCCAGGGTGAGACCCAAAGGCAGAGTGACTTGTAGGCAGGGGAGAGGCTCCTGCTGAACCTTGGGGTCGACCCAGGCGTCTGGCCCTCAACCTTCATTATCGCCATTGACGATCAGTGGTGCCTCCTGCAAACCCAGAGACACAGCAGGGACACAGCAGGGACACGGCAGGGAGTCAGCAGCCTGCACCTTGTCTTGGAGGGAGGGCAGTGAGGGAACAGCAGAATGAGGGATGTGGCCATCACCACAGGCACTGGGCCTGGGAGAACTGTCCTTCATGGGCCCGATTCAGGCTTTCAAAGCCTGCAATTCCAGACATCCCCATGTGGAGGCGCTCAGTCCCATGGCTGAGACATGGGGGCCTGTTGCCATGCCACGTGCCTCTCCTGGGTCCTAAGAGAATGTGGAGGGGTGGGGAACAGCTCCAACCCCAGCAGCCTCTGCTGAGCACAAGGTTGGGGATTTCCGCCTTGACAAGGTTGAGCCAGTAAAGGTCCCAGTTTCACGGGAGTGGGAGAAGCTGCCCATCCCTAAGCTCCTCCCCACATCAGCCCCCACATCCTGCCCCCACCACACAGCCGGCCCCACAACTGCCTCCTGGGGAAAAGCCAGACGCCTGGGTTGAGCTCAGATGCAGCGTCACCCATGGGAGAGTGAGAACCAGGGACAGAGAGACCGCCACGAGGGAGAGTCCTGGCGGCCTCAGCTTTGCTTGGCCATTTACGTGCTTCCAGAAAGTTCTCACTGCTCGAGCCTCAGTTCTTCTCTGTAAAATAAGCACATGGAAGACAGCTCCTCTGAGTCCCGCCCGGTACCACGGAGCTACGGCAAAGGCGATTTTGGAAGGAACACAGCACAATCATCACGGCAGGACCCCTGGTGTCAGACTCAAGGCCACACTTTGCCTGGAATTCCAGGCCCTGATGGAACCTCGGCCAGACCCTCCTCCTCCAGACCCTCTGGTCAGCTCACCCTGGGCCACTTTCTGTGTCCTGGACAGGCCTTGGGCAGCCCAAGTCCAAAGCCACATTCATTGTTTTCCTTCCATGGGAAATGCCCCCGCCTCCCGCCCTCCCACCCCGACCCCAGCATCTGAGATGCAGACTCTGTATAAGGGGCCTTTCTTTGCAGCTATGCCTGCATGACCCCCAGCCTCAGTTTCCCCCACTGTAAAATGGGGATTGTGAGCCCTGACTGGGTGGCTGGAGACCAGCCAATGGGACCATGTGTGTGTAAGACTGTGTGTGGGGCTGCCCCACAAGCAAGAGAGGGTGAGCTACAAGATGGCTCTCCCTTTTCAGAACAGTAGGTACGAGCTGCCTCCCATCCTGGGGCAAACCTGCCTCCTCCAGGAGCACGTGGTAGGTATCTCATCAGGTTCCTCAAACTTGCCTCTGAACCCCTTCTCTGACCCCAAGCTTCCCTTGTCCCCACTGTCACTTAACAATTAGGGGGCCGTTGTTCATGTCTGAGCTCAACTGTTCACACCCTCACGTGTGTCTCCACCCCATCATGGCAGGTCCAGCGGGGCTGGGTTGGGTCCACCTCTGTGGCCTCACAAAAAAAGGGGTTACTTGTGGATTAAAATGTCCTATAATGTTGCCTGGAAACCCCATCAGAGGTGTCATGCCCTCCCGCTTCGTCCGGACAGATGAAGGGTGCCATTCACAGACACGTGGGTGGTTTCCGGGGTGGACCTGAGCCAGCAGAGGGTGGGCGGGAGCAGATCGTGTGACCTGGGAGAGGGGACCCTCCGAGTCCACCCACCTCCAGACGGTGGCACGGGGGCAGGGGTCCAGATGGGCCCCAAGGACCGTCACTCTCAGGCGGGCCACACCGCCTTTGACTCTCGATCCCCTGCTCAGCCAGCTCAGGTTCCCTTTTTGCTCCGTGTCAGCCGCATACCGGGCGGAAGGCTGTGAGCGTTTTCTTTAAGAAGTACGTTCCCGGCCCTCGTTCCGTTATGCTTCTTCTCCCAGCACTGACACCTGGAAAGACGTTGACGAGACGCTTCCTTTTTAACAATAGGTACAAGCCGACAGCTAGTTCTAAAGCACACCTACCTCCTGTAATTTCTGGGAAATTCATTTCAAGATCAAAAAAAGAAAATGTGCCCTCCGGTTGGTTGGTTAAGTAAGTCCCGATCAATCGAATTTGATTGGAAAATGGCCCCTACCGATTAATTCACTTGTGTAGAAACGGGGGAACTCCTCATGGGTAAAGAAGCCAGGAAAACATCGTTTTTCAGCTAGATCCAGAACTGCCCAAATCGTGGTTTTGACACTAAGAAAAACAGAAGGACTGGGTCTCAGCCATGCTCTTTCTGTGGGATGAGTCCATAGCCGGAGACCCAGGGTTCAAAGGCGTTTTCCCACGGTCCCCATGTGCCAGAGCCTGCGGAGGGGGCCTCCGGTCTGTGGCGACTCCAGGCCCCTGAGCGCAGGCTTCAGGAGACAGTCGCTTCCCCGACACCCACCAGCCAACAGTCTGCTCTGGAGAAACGCCAGGGAAGCGTCAGGAGCCCATTGGAGGCAGCGTGATGGCACCTGTGAGGGAATCAGGGACTGCGGCAAAGAAACCCAGGCCGGGTGCAGAGACACAGCTCCGGGCTCTCGGGCCCGGGTTCCAGCCTCTGAGCCTCCACCCGCCACTGCGGCCCCAGGTGGAGACCACAGCGCCAGCACCCATTCAGCCCTCTTCTGGGCACCGCAACCCATTTCCTCTGGGGAGGGCTCCCCCCGCCCCAGGGTCACCTCTGAGTGTGAGTCACTGCCCTGGCCAAGGGCAGGGAAGGCCCAGAGCCCAGGCCTAGCCTGTCAGACCCGGGCCTGTGCTTGGTCAGGGATGGTCATGTGGCCCAATCACAGCCACCACTCTTGCTAGAAAATGCTGGGGACAGACTCGTGCTCAGTCCTGCGAGACCAGAACCTGAGGGGACCTGAGGCTCCAGCTGCCGCCACCATCATGTAACCCCCCTGGGAGGGAGCCTGGGGGTGGGGTCCACGGGGGAGAGGGAGAGAGTGGAGCCAGGGCCTGGGCCCGTGCAGCCGGAGCAAGCAGCTCCTCCAGCCAGGACTTCCTGTCACCGGCCCATACATGTAGCCGAATCCACTTTGAGTTGGGTTTTCTGCGTCTCGCAAATAAGACTCCTCAACAGCACGAGGCCAAAAGTCCAGGGAGGGTGGCGAGCTGTGCCCCGTGGTGGGTGCCTGTGCCCGGTGGCCTGGGCCCGGCTGCTCCTCTGTGGCCAACGCTGGCCCTCCGTCCACACCGCAGCCAGGCCGACCCCTCCCTCGATCACGACCACGGTGTGATGGGTTTAATTTATTGTCGGAAACCCTTAAAGGCGCAGGAGCTTTGAGGAGCCGGTGACAATAGACATAAAGCACGCATTTAACCCGTCTGAATGGAGGCTAGATTTACTGTCCCGGCCAGACGGGAGTTTTGTCCCCAAGTCATCTCAGAGTACATGGGCCACTAAAGATCTCCACAGAAGACGAAGACGGAACAAAGGAAGTACGTTTTAAAAGGAACTTTGTCAAGGAGTTTTAGATGTTTCCCCGGATAGAAAGCCAGGGCGCCTCACGGCAAAGGCCGCTGGGATCGCGAGTGGCTGCGGATCAGAGGGAGATGCTAATGAAGTCGTTTAAATGCAGGTTTGATGGACCCCGGAGAATGGGAGCAATTTCGTAGGAGCCTGCAGCAAGGTTAGGGAATCAAAGACGGTGGCTGTCAGATTTGCTGCCCGGGACAAGGCTCCATTGTCAGCCGCCTTTCTCAGCCAGGAAGCGCGTTCTTAACCTCAGTGTTTACCAAGCGGACATCCTAGCCTGGCCGATGGGCCTGCGGAATTTATGACCAGGAACAAACCTCTTAGAGGGAAAAGAAAACAGCGCCTACCAGCTGGGGAAGGCCTGTTTGCGAAGGCCCTGCCTGCGCCAGCTCCATGGGGGGTGGGCAGCGCTGCAGATGGAAGGGGTCTTACCTTTCAAGAACTAGCAACGTGGGAAGGAGGCTCCCCGAGAGGCGTCCTGACGGGTTTCAATGTGGCTTGTCTCAGTTCTGTCTCCTTAAGACAATCCCGATCTGGGCCCCTTTCAGCTGAGCGGGTGCCAACGGTGCCAACGGTTGCTGGCGGGGATGTTGAGAAGCTCACGGATACCCAGCTTGACTGGCGGATTGACATTTGCGAACTGGCATCCCCAGCTGGGAGGTGAGTTGCCCTCTCTAAACCTTCACGGTGTCAGCCACCAACGCGAGGCTCCAGACCCTTGACCCACGGCCCCAACTCATCCACTGGCCCCCACGTCCCTTGGCGCACACTGAGTTTGGATTCTGTGGTTATTTCAACGGTGCCGTGATGGTAACCGTGGGTAGTGCAGCAGCAGGCTCCTGGGGGCTGCACCAGAGACCTTCTCGGGCCGCCCCAAACCAGACAGGCTTCTATATAAGGACACGGTGTCTCTTATACCCAAGGAAGGACTCCCTGATGCCCTTCATTCCCCAGTTCTCTGCTTCTTGGTGCACTTGCCAGGTGTGGCCAATGCTTCTGGTCCAGAGACAATATGATTGACACAGGTAAGGTCAGGTGGCCATCCTGGCTCCATCTCCAGTGGTGGGGGCAGGGGGGAAGGAGAGCAGAGAGCAGATCAAGAGCAGGGTAACCAAGAGAGGTGACTGTTCTAAACGAAAGGATGTGAGCTAGAAAGACACCACCACGTATCCACACGTAGCACACCCTCTCAGTCGGCGGCTAGCCTGGGGCCGGAGCAGGAGTGCGGCACCGCACGGAAAAGGCAGAAACTGGGCGGCTTGTTCACTCGTGCCCCGAAGCGCTGAGGAGAGCTCTGTTTACAAACCCGCCATCCAAGGCTGCTCGTCACCTGCCTGGCTTATCTGATCGTTCTCACGTTCCCACTTGACCTGAACGGTGTTCCGTCTAGTTCACCTGAGTTCTGCAGGGCCTTGGAGAGAGCACGTTCCCCATATGCAGCCACCTACCACCTCAGCTGTCTCCCTCACCGGTGGTCCACGTGCCCCGTGCACCTGTGGGCAGACTCTGTCTCCCTGTGCTGAGGGGACTGCAGTCAAGGGATCTGGTGTCCACTCTGGTCCTGCAACCAGGACAACGGAGGGACCCACATTAAAGCCCAGTGGCTCCTTCCCTGGCTTGACAATTGCCTGACAAGGGGAGCGGGTGGCACCCACGCCCCCTCCTCAGGCCCCATGCCACAGCATGACTGGTTCTTCATCACCCCCTTGCATTGGTCACGTGATGGCCCTTTCAGCCTCTCCCCTGGTCTCTCCAAATGCCTCCTCCCTTCTACCCTCAAGCATCCTCTGACCATGTCCCTCCCCTGCTGTCACCTCTGCCCTGGCTCCCCATGGTCCCCAGGGTAAAGCCCAAGCTATGTGCGGTGGTCAGTCAGGCCTCGATCCACTCCCACCAAGGTCTCCAGCCTCATCTCTGAATACGCCCCTCCTTGAATCTTGAGCCCCTGCAAAGCTGAACTGCTAACAGCACCCTGGGGGCTGCAGGATGCTTCTTGACTTCTTGTCTCTGTAGCTGTCATTCCCTCTCTCTGGCTCTCACTCTTCTCTTGGACAATTCCTACCCATCCTCCACACACAACTCTGGGGACGTCATCTCCAGAATGCCTTCCCTGACCCCCTACCCCACTTCAAGTTACTGTGGGACCGCTCTGCCATGCCCCTGATGGTAACCGTGGGTAGTGCAGCAGCAGTACCTAGAAACTTCTTCACCTTTGCACGTAGCCCTTTTTTCAAGGTTACCTCTTGATGAGGTTCTTAGTTCCTAGCCTGGATTCTGACACTTTAACAGTGAATCAGTGAGTCTAGAACTGACCCACACCTGCACGATTACCTGGTTTAAGACCCAGGACCACTGCAATCCAAGGGAGGGAAGGATGATCTTTCAAAAGACAGAGCCAGGTTGACCAGATAGCCAATGTGGAAAAATAAACCTTTACCTCTAACTTTCATCAAGTATAATAAATACTTTTACTTCCACCTGGAAAAATGAGGCAGCCTCCCCGCTTATCCTGCCAGAGCAGAGTCAAAACAAAAGGGGGAGTCTAAATATGATCCAGAGGCTCAGAACATAATACAGAAAAGTGCAGGTTTCGTTTAACAATCACTCATCATCCCAAGAACCGGGAATATCTCCAGTTGAGTGAAAAATGATAATTGACAAATGCAAACACTGAGGCGACACGGTTGTTAGAATTACCAGACGAAGGTTGTAAAGCAGCCATGATAAAAATGCTCCAATAAGCAATTATGAATACACTTGAAACTAATGAAAAGCAACAGAAATCCTCAGCAAAAATAGGTGACAAAGAAGAACCAAATGGAAATGTTAGAACTAAAAAATACAGTAAGAGAAATAATAATTTTTTAAAACACAGATGGATTCAACAGCAGAATGAAAGAGACAGAGGAAAGAATCAGTGACGTGGAAGACAGGATAATAGAAACAGCCAAACCTGAGCAGCAGAGAGAAAACAGACTGAAAGAAAAATGAACCAAGCCTTGGGGACCCATGGAGCTATAACAAAAAATAAAAAATAAAATTCAGGTCATCAGAGCCCCAGAAGGAAAGGAGGAAGAGAGCACGGCTGGAAAAGTCCTGAAAGAAATATGGCTGAAAACTCCCCAAATTTGGGGAGAGATAGAAACTTCTAGCTTCCAGAAGCTGAGCTAACCCTACACAGGATAAACCAAAGAAATCCATCGCAAGACACATACCAACGAAACTTTTGAAAACTGGGGGCAGCATAAAATCTAGAAAGCAGCCAAAGGAAACCTGATCTAACTGAAGAGATAAATAGACAAATACAGAGTTACAGTTGGAGGTTCCCACATGCCTCTCCCAGCAATGTATAGAACAACGAGGCAGAAAACCAACAAGGAAACAGAAGCACGTGACCACAGCAGCAACCCGCGGGACTTCATCAATATTTATAGAACATTCCACTCAACAACGGCAGAAAATGCATTCTTCCCAAGTGTGTACGGAGCATACACCAGGATAAACCATACTCAGGCCATAAAACACACCTCAATACATTTAAAAGAATAGAAGTCATTCAGAGTATGTTCGCCAACCACAGCGGAATCAAACTGGAAACCAGTAACAGAAGAACAAAAAATGAATCTCTGAACACTTGGAAATGAAAGAATATGCTTTTAAATAATTCTTGGGTCAAGCAGGAAGACTCAAGGGAGGTCGGAGAAATATATTGGCCTCAGTAAAGATGAAAACACCAGTATTAGAGCGCCACAGCCAAGGCGGTGCTGAGAGGAAGGCTTTCAGCAGGCCATGCACGCAATAGAAAAGAGGAAAAGGCTCAAGTCAGCAATCTAAGCCCCCACCCCAAAATCCCAGAGAGCAGAGCAGATAAACCCAGAGAAAATAGAAATAAATAAGTAATAAAGACCAAAGCCGAAATCAATGAAAACTGATAACGGAAAAACAGAAATTTAAAAAGTAATGAAACACAGAGCTGGTTCTTTGAGACTAGCAATAAATTTGACAAAACTCTATGACTGACAAAGTAAAAAGGGAGAAGACACAAACAGCCAATACCAAGAACGACGCAGAGGATGTAACAGATCCTGGAGGCTTCAAAAGAACAGAATAGGGTGCTATGATCAACTCTACACAATTAGATTTGACAACTCAGGTGAAATCAACTAATTCCTTGGAAAACTACCACTCGCCCGATATGAAATTAATCATTTGAATCGCCTTATTAAGGAAGTTAAATTCCTAATTTAGAGAATACCCCTTCCAAAATCTCCAGGCACGGGTGATTTCACTGGAGAATTCTGCCAAATGTTTATAAAACTATTAAGCCTAATTCTACACAATCTCTCTCAGAAAACAGAAGAGGAAGGAACACATCCCAACTTAGATAAAAATGTACAAACAAAACAAAAAAAAGAAAGAAAGGAAATTACAGACCAGTTTCCCTCATGAATACAGACACAAAAATAATTTCAAAGCAATTAGCAGATAGGATTCAGCAATCTATGAAGTGAATTATCCACCATGACCAAATGGAGTTTACTTCAGGAATGCAAAGTTTGTTCAATACTGAAAAATTTCTCAATATAGCCCACCACAGTAACAGGCTAAAGGAAAAAACACAAATTATATCAATAAATGCAGAAAAAGCATTTGACAACATTCAATACAAATTTATGATAAAACTCTGAGATAAGTAGGATTAGAGGGACCAGAGCACCTATTTTAACACATCTACAGCTAACATAAGTCTTAGTGGTGAAAGAATGAATTCTTCCCTTCCGAGATTAGAAACAGGAAAGTCAGCTCTCATCACTCGTATTTAGAATAGTGCTGAAGGTCCTAGCCAGTACATAAGGCAAGAAAAAAAAAGTCATAAAATTGAGGAAGGAGAAATAAAACTGTTCCAATTTGCAGATGACATGATTGTTTGCCAAAACTCCCAAGGAATCCACACACACACACACACACACACACACACACACACACACAGAGGCACGCACGCACAAACAAACAAAAAAAACTCCCAGGACTATTAAGCAAGTTCAACAACATCACTGGATACAAGATAAACATATAAAAATTGATTGTATTCCTATGTAAGAGCAAAAAAAACGGGGAATATCAACATTTAAAAAATAATACCATTTAAATTACTCAAAAATAGTTGTAAATCTAAGAAAACAGGTGCAGGACTTTAGCTGAAAACTGCACAACCCTGTGAAAGGCATCAAAGGAGATCTAAATAAATGAAAAGCCATACTATGTTCATGGATTGAAAGAATCAACATAATAAAGATGTCCATTCTCTCTAAATTGATGTAAAGATATGGCTTGATAGACAGCAATTCCTTTCAAAATCTGAATGAGAATATTTTCCATATAGATTAAGATTATTCTAAAATGTATATAGAAAGGAAAAGGAATTAAAACCAAAAAAAAGAAAGAAAAGGATTTAGAACAGCTGAAAACAATTTTGAAAAAGAAGAATGGAGTAGGAGAAACTAGTTGAGCCGATTACAAGACTTATTATACAGCTACAGCAACCAAAACTGTGTGCTACTGGCAGAGGAATAGACACATGGATTAATGCAACAGAATAGAGAACCCAGCTAGAGGCCCACACAAATTTGCCTCACTCATTTTGATAAAGGTACAAAAGCAATTCAGTAAAGGGAAGATAGCATTTATTATAAATACTGGAGCGACTGATCTGCCATAGGCAATAAATTGAGTCCTTACCTAAGTTTCACACTTTCTACAAAAATTATACAAATGGAGAACAGCGTGTGGTTTTGTCATCATTCAGATTATGACAACAATAGTTGCCAGGAATTAAGGGGGGTGAGGGAGAAAGTGGGTGTGGCTATAAAAGGCAACTTGAGGGATCCTTGATGGAATGTTCTGTCGAATTACTGTATCAATGCCAATATCCTGGTTGTGATAGTGTACTACAGCATTACACGGTGTTACCATTGGAGGAACTTCAGTGGTTCTCAACCTGTGGGTCACGACCCCTTTGGCGGTCGAACGAGCCTTTCACAGGGGTCGCCTAAGACCATCCTGCATATCAGATATTTATACTACGATTCATAACAGTAGCAAAATTACAGTTATGAAGTAGCAACGAAAATAAGTTTATGGTTGGATCACAACATGAGGAACTGTATTTAAAGGGCCAGAAGGTTGAGAACCACTGAACTGGATGAAGGGCATGTACATGGAATCTCTCTGTGTTATTTCTTACAACTGCACCTGAATCTACAATTATCTCAACATAAAAGGTTGAATTTTTTTTCTTAAAAAAAGAAAAAGTTTAAGGAAGGGGAAAAGGCCATTAAAATCGTGAAAAGGCAAGTCAGGGCATGGGAGAAGATACTTACGAAAGGCTTGGCATCAGGACGTACAAACAGCTCCTAGAGGGCAATGCGAAAACAACAATTACTCAATTACATGCACCTGAACTCTATCAGGCCCACATCACTCAGCCTCCTGCGACCACAGGTTCGGACCATAAGGTCAAGCTTACAACTATAGCCTTTGACTATGATTGTGCTGGGACTTGCACTTGGCTCTGCCACGAGAGGATCATGCCCTCTCATTAGGCTTGAACCTGTCCAAACGCTGTAGCCGCTCTCCACAGCAAACCATTGATAAATACAATAGACAAATGAATCTCAAAAAGATTGTTGATCAGAAGAAGCTGATAGAGAAGATCGCACTGAAGGATTCTGTGTTTTTATGAAGTTC